TATTGAATTATTTTATAACTAGGGGCGTTTCGTGATTGGCTGGTGCGTCACTTTGGGTCAACGCCCCAGGGGTATCACGGCACTTTTTGCGTTACTTTTTCATTTCTGCTTTTTGCGCATTCAAACTTCGAAATTAATTGTAAATATATATGTAGGTTCATTTTTCGTTTTCACAATTGTATTAATAAGTGTTTTTTCATTTTGCGGTACATGGTATCGAAACGTCCTTGAAAATTCATTATTGATGTTCTGCTATGATAGTTTTTCCGTATTTGCATAACAGACTAGCAATTATTTCTACCTAACTATACACAAAGTTTAATCAACTCATTCATTTTTATACGAATTAACGTGATCCAAGGACATATCGTCATAAAAATTGTATAGTCGTCATGGCTACCAAAACTGCGCTACAAGTAACGATACCATGATAAGTTTTATCGTTTTTCCCTTCTTTATCACAATTTTGGCTGATTTTCACTGTTTTGTTTGCTTTTATGACGGAAATAGGTTGATAGTGAAAATACTAGCTGTCCTGAGGGTCGTAAATATTATGTATACACTACAGATGATTGTAACACATGCCAAGATGTTATATCAGCTTCTGCAGTTAGATATGTAAGCCACCAAATCATTATATTGCAGGAAATAAATCATAATCATGAGGAAGAGGTATATATATGTGAAGACTTTACCGGAGACTAAGCTAACATAATCCCAATGTTTAAGCTGTCGGTATTTTTGCAAAGATAGCTAATAGCAGAAATAAGTACTATTATAAAGCGGTTACGAGAAAGCATTGAATAGCACGATTCAACAATCAAGATATCTTGATCTCAGGTGACCAGATTATATGAGATCATATGTGATGATTTCCGAAAATCAACCAAGGCCTGTCTCGCTTAAGTGCTGATGCCGTAAATGACAATTACTTATACCTTACGTGGGACTAAAATTAAATAGGCATCAATAATCGCAGATTACATAGGACGATTCAAAGTAAGTTCACATAGTAGTCTTTATATATGTTCATCGTCTAAGTGTCCGAATTGAAACCTGTCCAAAGAATTAAATAATACAAGCCATGTATGTTGCGACTCAAGCTTTCCTAAGCAACGCAAGAGATGAAGCAAATAAGCGTGATTGACTATCCAATGAAAGAGTGTGCTAAGTGCACTTCCGATCTGTGATTGTACACCGGTTTCTGTTTTTATACTAGTTTCTGGTAAACGTTTATACTGCAATAACTATTTCCTGTCTATCTTATTTCCAGCTGGCTTCGGAAGTGTTCATAGACTTAACGGGAACGATTCTTAAGAATTGAAAGTTATTTATTAATGGATCATTTGTGCTGGATCCATTTATAACGCATCAGTTTTTTAATTACGGCAATGCTTATCTGTCGTGACAGGTCGAAGTTCGAACTAGTAGTATAGTTCACCATGTCCAAGGTTGCAGTATTTGAAAAACGGTCTGTATGACTAATCGCGTATGCGCCGAACTGGTAATTATTACATAATAACGCGAAACAGCATCCCTGTCTCACAGCCATATAAGACTGTACAGTACACTCTCCCAGCCGTTACTCCATAAGAATAAGTTAATGGTCATATAAACGAATTTATGTAAAACTAAAATGATTACAATATTAAAATTTCGTGTTATCAAGAAGCATATCTATGGTCAGTGTTAACAATGGACTCTGACGATGTAGCTTCATTATTAGCACCGACTGAACTCATCACTTGTGCGCATGTCTTCCGATGCTTCGAGGCATGAACGGATGAGTTTACTTGCCAAAAGTTCACTAGGAACATGGACTGAGTGATAGTTGTTAGTGAACTTCTCTAGCAGTTCATCACTCCCTGTAGAGATTGACAAGTTGTCCATCGCACGAAGAACCAAGTCCATTATGTATTTCCTTGTCCACCGGTTGCTATGTCGAAACAAGTCTACAAGGCTTATAGTGACAAAGGAACACACACTTACCTCCACGAACTAGATCTTTGGGATGCGCATACAGAATATGACCACAGGACAGGATGTGGTCATTGAAACGCTCACAAGTACATGGTGTACGTGGAGTATCAACAACATATATCATACCCTTGTCGTAGCACCGCATATATTCTCCTATAAACTTATGTCTCATTGTCCTAACACGTTTATAATTTACAGCTACAATTTTGGATGCAAAAGATGTGAACTCATTTAAAAGAGTTCAAAATGACATTGGAACCTGGAATTAATGATACATTTAACTATATTTCATACCTGAGAATTGGAAAACGTTGAAGATCTTTTACAGCGTCATATGGACTCAAACTTAGGTCAGTGTCTGTTTTACTCCAAATTTTCCAGAATGTCAGTAACAGAGCATCGACTATTCTGAGACGTTCTTATAGGTGTTTGGGAGCACTTTCGACACGGTTGTTTGTATGGTTGCCCAGGCTTAATACATGACCCCGGTAACAGAGAGCCCACACTGACTTCTGGGCAACCCAGTAATCTTTTATATAATCATGCACCCGGAAGAAATGGGTACTTAGATGTTCGTACTTCTGGGTAAATCTGAGTATAATGCGTTATGAAAAGCGAAACTCATATGTCAGACCGTCTAGTTTTCACAAGGTGTTACAAGCATTTGCGTACATCAGGATTTCGGAACTACAGAAAATAATTTGTACAATTATCACATACCTTCCTGAACAATGCTTTTAGGACATGGAATGAACAAAGTACTATGTTAGAATGACTGTGAGTAGACTGCACTGCTGTAATTTCGGTCGCTGCCGAATCCATAACGAAAGTTCGTGTATCATAAGTACCGCACATTATGTCATTAAAGCACTCCAAAAGTTTTACATCTTCGCGTCGTTCTTGCCTGCAAATAGCATACATAACGGTATGCCCTTACCCAAGACTATCAGTCACCACTAGCTGGAACAGTGGAAAACTTTAAATTTATTACTATTCGTTACTTACCCAACTTTGTTGGTCTGATAAGTCGGATCAATACATTGTAGCGGTAAATAAATCCCCAAAATAAATAGCTCTGTAAGTTTTCGGCATCGAGTGCTAGCCACATCAGTTTCAATGGACTCGCCTAGATGAAGAGGCTCGGTCGTGCATCCGCACCAGATCACGAGTGGGAACGACGTGCTTAATAACCCCTGCAATCGCTAGTCAGATTAGATCAGACGATCCTCGATATATTGATAGTCTATCAAATATATCTTCGAATTTCCTCGCTTCTGTCTTTGATTTCACTTGGTGGGTACGATTCATATTAGGTGTTACTGGTTAAAGCCTTGTAAAATTGAATACATGTGGCATCTTCACTTTTATTATTTTGCTCCCATTTAAGTATTCCCATGCATCTGCGTCTAGTTTAAAAGGAAGACATAAAAACAGAGTTAGTGTCTGATGAACTAAAAGTCCCAGTTGTCATAAAGATTCTTAACATTTGTCCGCAGATATCTGCATTTAATTGAGACACAGAACACCCATCTTCTAAGACTGTATATTGCTATTTCGCGGGCAAGTAAAAGCTCAGACGCTTAGCAATCCTTCTACCGATGTTATTGCCGGGGAAATTGTTTGATGACAGTAATCTTGAAATATAGTCAGTGATAGATGTACAATCTAGAAATAAACACCAAACATACTTAAAGCTATCTTATAATGTATGACAGCAACAGTGCCAAAGGCATTTCTTTCCTATTTTCAATCAGACTGATTTCAATCAGTATACTCATTAGAAACAGGTAGCTCTACTTACTAAACTGATCTGTTTCGTTACAGGCTTCAAGCACTATACTTAAGTATGCCATAATTCTTTCGACTAAACTGAACTATACGACAACCAAGAATACTAAACTAAGCAAGTGTCATAATTATTGTTTCATTTGCACAGACATGTTGCTCAAAGTAGTTAAATGGACATAATTAAGCCGATAAAACCAAAACACGAAATATAGGCCAGCCGAACTTACCTAACAGAAGATAAAGGATATATATTGTTTTCAGGCTGAAGACAACAGTCAGTTGTTCATAAAAAAATAGTTTACAGTACAACAAACCTTTCTTCAGTAACATTATGCTCTCATGGTCTATCTGGAAACAATCACATATGTGATTAAACTCACTGACTTGGGATATCATCCCAGCGTGCAATGAACGTACAGCGTAACGCAGTCGGACGTGGCGAATAAAAATTAAAAACAGAGCAAAATTAACAACATAATGTAGTTATTTAATTAGAAATACATTATGAAATGACAACATCTGTGGTTACTTGAACGCACAGATGACCGTTATTACACTGGGCGATACATTCAATTCTAAAATTGTCTTGATTCGACCGCTTCCGAAAAACTTCACGGATTGTCAATGTGACGCACCAGTCATCTCGCGACGGTTTGACCTTCAAGTGCTCGCAACCTCCGTCAGTGGACAAAACCTCTGAAGCGTTGGGACGTCGGTATGTTATGCGTTGCCTGCTTTTACCACATATACCAGTCGGTGTACATGTATGTACCAAGATTTTAGTTAAACATTCCTTGTAAGGCTATATCACACTTATAGTTTGCAAATCGCTAGCTTAGCAAAGGTTTCATAATTCTTGCATGGTTAGGACCCTGATTTATCTCAATGTTAGCTAATCATTTTAAACTGAAATCTCGAGATTTGAGTGATCGTCCAAGTTTGTCTGTAAGTAGCTGATTTCTCGTTAAGCTCAAAATGGTACATATGCGACCTCAGTTATCAGCAGCCTAAAAACTCGAAACATTCAGTCGTTTAGTTTTTGCCGTGTCATTTAACACGGTGATATCTCTGTGGTGAATTTCAGACAAATACTTGTCTGGAATTTATAGCCGTTAATGGCTAACCAAATTTATATCCTTCAGTCGGGCGAAAATGTCTAAGAATGAGAGTGAAAGCAATCGTAGATGGCAAGACATGTATGTGTATGTCACGTTGATTGAGTTGTAAGCTCTTCAGACCAGCCCTCAGACAGTATCTTAGATCATAGTAACGACATTTCTAACTTGGTAGTCTGTCGAGAAGTAATAATCTTAAATTATTTGATTGTTTTGTCAATTGCCTGAATTATTACTCCATGTATCTATGCGTAATTCTGGTCTCTACACTTTCGTACCAAATCCACTTAAATGAAGGCTAATATTACTAATTATTTATGGACAATATGGTGCGGAATTTCATTTCATGATCTCATGCTGTATTACGACTCAACCTGTAGGTGTAATTTAAACTAAACTGCTCGCTAAGGAATCTTGTTACTCGAAAAACACTTACCACTGTTTTATAGTTGTCGATAACTATTGAAATTTGTACTTATGTTGCTATTTCGATTTTTCCTTGATCTGTAGTTGAGTCTGTACTACATATTACGTCGTGACGTTCGAAAATGTTACTTCAAGTTTTAATTAAAGGTGCTCTGCGATACAACCGATCTCCTGTCTCAAACTTATGTCGTCATTATGCAGCTCATGTACAGCGTCCGGCTCCTGACTTTTGTGGAACGGCAGTGGTGGATGGCCAATTTAAAGAAATAAAACTGAGAGATTATGCTGGCAAATACTTAGTTCTCTTTTTCTATCCTCTGGATTTTACTTTTGTGTGTCCAACTGAGTTAACTGCATTTTCTGATCGAATTGATGAGTTCAAAAATGAAGGAGTTGAAGTCGTTGGCGTTTCAACTGATTCACATTTCAGTCATCTCGCTTGGATAAATACTCCACGTAAAGTAGGACTATTTTGTTCTCGACTAGTAAATTTACCATAATTGATGAAATTACGAGCGGTTGGTGTGAGCTACTTTAATGAGTAATTCTAATACAGATTAATTCAAGCTGGACGTTGATTTACATTAGTTCTGATCATAGAATTAAGCTAGTTTAAAGTATTGTGAAAGATATTTGTATTAGTTTCTTATGTATTTCTTTTCACAACAGATTATTCTCTTGGGTTCTGAAGGATAGTATGTTCCTAAAACACAGTTCAGTCTTTCCATGCCTAGAGTGTATTAACTTGCCGATTAATTCATGCAGTATATGATAAACAGTGATCACAATGTAAAGTTGTAAGTAATTCATCCTAAGGCTAAGACACTATTCGTTTTCTGTACAGTTTGGGAGGACAGACCGACTCATGGTGATGACTCATGAATTCTATTCTGTGTAGAAAAAACCCAGGTTGTATGCGTGTAAAACTCGAATAGTGTTACACAAATGAGCTCATCTTCAGCAATCAGTTTTAGTTTGTGATATATCCCCGTTACTTGGTTTATTCAGTCAGTCAGAAACAGCGTAGAACTTCGTACGTACGTACATCAGTTTATTCAGTGCATTCTTAACTAGATCTACAAATATCACCTACTGTAAGGTTTTCTAGGTTGTCATAATTCCTATCCATCCGTGATTTTTAAAACTGTCTTACTGTTTCTTTTAATCAGGAAGGTGGTTTAGGCTGTCTACGCTATCCACTCTTGGCAGACTATCAAAAACAAATTACGCGTGATTATGGGGTCCTTCAAGAAGAGTTAGGTGTTGCCCTTCGCGGCTTATTTATAATTAATCCTGATGGTATAGTCCGCCAGATTACTATTAACGATCTTCCTGTTGGAAGATCTGTTGACGAAGTTTTGAGATTGGTTAGAGCCTTCCAGTTTACAGATAAACATGGTGAAGGTAACTTTCTGGGATCATTTTTTCTTGGTTTATACACATTCATTTAATTTTATTATAGAGCTAAACCCAGTCAATAAAATTCGCTAGCTCAAAATAACTGGAAATTGTAGTTTGAGAATTATTCAAAATATTTACATTCACAGTCCACTGATCTTCGAACCGTCTTTGTTTAATCGTAAAAAGATCTCCCTTTGAAACCATGTAGTTCCGATCAGGACTTGTAATTATTTTGACCTATCAATCTTTATATGTTCATGAACTAAATTATTAAGGAACATGAACAGTTCGATAATACAGATCAATCTAAAACTCGCCCCCTGAATAAGAAAGATGGTTATCTTGTGTTTAACTCACTGTAGGTCGGTCACATTGTTAATTTGTATTAATGCAATCAGTATCTAGTCATTCACCGGTAGTTTTGTCGCAATTTAACATTTTTATTGGTATAACAATAGATACTAGCTTGTTCAGCAATACTATTCATAAGTGTTTCTGTTACTAATCGCGCTAAGCACAATATTATGAATTAATTTAAGTTAGGAATGTTAGTCACTGAATAGCAACTCAGTGGTCGCAAGACCTGAAAGTTCTGTAGTCGAGTACACTAATCTAGGTGCTATTTTGCATTTATGCATCTATATCTCAAGAGTTTGGAAATAAATGTGGTCCGTAAGGTCTCGAATTAATGGAGATCAGTCATTGAGGAGCTTCACTCTGTTACAATAATGCAGTAGTATTCACTCGTAATTTCAAGCCAATCGGCTACTATGTCATATGTATTCGTATTAGCGACCTTACGTATATCATTTTCTAAATAAACTTTCGCATTTCCATAAAGTACTGTTATCCTCCACTGATTGTTTCTTTTTTTTATCTGCGATTACCCGTTTGTTTTAGTTTGCCCAGCAGGTTGGCAACCAAAAGGTCCAACAATAAAGCCAGATCTGAAAAAGTACAAGGAGTATTTTCATAAGGTTAATTAAATGTTTCATTGTTCCCTGTGAAGTCAAATTAAAACCTGATACAGACATGTATTAATACACGTCGGTTCATATTCAGAATATTATACATAGTACACTGGTATTCATTATGTAGCAACAGTGTTTATGAACTCATTTTCTGTTTTCTGTAATTTTCTTGATTATATCAAATACAAATATTAAGAAGCACCAGTTTTTAAATTTATGATACTGCACAGCAAATAAATATTTTAGCGTCATCTCATAAGATTGTTTGAAAAAGAAATATTGATGAGGAAAAGGTTGATCTTAAGTGAGTGAGATATTAAAATGTAACTGGAATTATCTCTGTCACAATAATTTCTTATGCATAAAATATCTTGTGGCACTGTTGAACCTTTAAAACTGTTGTGTGTTTTATAAACAGGGATAGATGGTGGTTAGCAGTGAAATCTAGAACGCAGGTTCCATCCTATTCGGGGCTCGTGAGCTGGATGTACTTGCATCCCAGAGTCGATGTTCACTCCAGGACTCGAACCCAGTACCATTCTCTTCAGACACCATCGCGTTATCCATATGGTTGTTGTATGTTTTGTATTATTTAGTTTATATACGATTAAGAGCAACTAAGGCTCGTTAGATAAAATGCCTCAGAATCGGTCACAATGGCACAAGTGTATTCACTTTTTTTCCTCCCTTAGATCTTTAGTTTTAACATTGTCCTGTACTTTTCAGCCCTCGAAATAATTTTCATCAGATCATATTTATCAATGTCTAATCTTCTTTGGTATCGCTAATGCTGCTACCACTTCTTCTATGATTGGATTCTTGTCAGCAGTTTTATTTCAGTGTGCTGATATATCAGCATATATATATATATATATAGTATGTAAACTTGAACGGAATAATACTTTTGCCACGTTCCATGTTACTGATAATTCACAAACTGGGAAGTAAGGATATTGGGCAGAAAATAACTTTTATTAGGACAACATATATACGTGAACATTATTGTCTTCCGTTGGATCCTTATCAGGCTTTAATATACAGTATTTATTTATTTTACTTATTTCAACACATAAATATTGGTACAAGAGGACACCAAATATATATGCGCCAAACCATACTTGTGTGTGTGTGTGGGGTGTAATACTGTTAGGGTGCCCAGACCGAAGCAGGTGGTTTTCTTAGGGGGCCACTCCGCGAGCCTTAGACCTGAAGATCTGATCCACAAGGTAGTGCAGCATCGTGAGGAGATACATTCCCATGGTAGCCGGTGACCAGCGATTGGTTCATACGCCATTTGTTCCCGCAGGATACTGGAGCCCATGTGCACCATTAGTTTGAGATCCGGTTAAAGCGCCGGACATTCGCTTTTCGTCGTCTCATTTTCGTAAACAACACCCCCGCCACGAGAAGGCAGTGAGTAGGACTTCCCTGGCAGAGGCTGTATCCGCGTGGCCGTGTGCGAGCATTTCGAGAGGGGGGGCGGGCCCCATACATTTACTGAATTATTAAATCAATGAAGGTAGTTTATGAGTCAGTGAGGAAAGTGTGTAGCGGTTAATAAATCCCCATAATCAATAGTTCTGTAAGTCTTCGACATTTGATGCTGACCACATCAGTTTTAATGGATTCACCTAGCTGAAGACGCTCGGTCACGCATCTGCACCAGATCACGAGTGAGAACGCTGTGCTCAGCTTCTCCTGCAACCGCTAGCCAGTTTAGATCAGTACCTCTCGATATACTGATAACCTATCAAATATTTCTTCTGACCTTCCCACTTCTGACTTTTGATGGGCAGGGTGGGTAGGATTAAATTATAGAAGATGTTATTGGTTAAAGTGTTGTCAAACTGCAAATACTTGTGGCATCTTCAATAGTGAGCCGTCGTGATCTGGTACACCGACTCGGAAACTGTGAGTCTGTTCCTTTTTGGAACTTCGTATATCATTGCTTTACTTTAATATTTATACACCCGACCGTAGCTGCTATCTTGACGCAGTCGTCGGGCTTGCCTATCGTGATGACCCAACCAAGCTATATTGGCTGGAACATATGTTCCTGTAGGTTCTACCATGCCAGGCAGGTCGATTGGAGAACGGTAAGACTAAAAGCAGCAACTCAAGGTCTGAGGGCGAAGTCGTACTGCTGACTGCAGAGGGGTGTGAAAGCAGTAAAGTGTTTCCCTCGGACAACCAGCATCTGCAGCGATGCTGCCCTCCCACTAGGAGGGGTGGTGTTAGAAAAGGTGGACCCTAAAAATGTCACACCTCACCTTACCTCACGGATTTCCGTCTCCGGCAGCAAGGCCCTTTGAAGAACGGAGCTAAGGTACTTAAGTTCATGACTAATACACCACCCTCCTTCCAGCTAATGCCGTGCTGGCCGGACAGCACCGAAGTCTGATTTTGCTGCGCAGAGGCTCACCTCTACGAGCACGGTGTGACCAATCCACGTGCACAATTCCTCACGGTAGTAAAGACACTACCGCGCAAATTCAACAGGTACTTCACACCTAGTATGTTTATTATTGATGTTTCGGAACCTTATGAAACGCAAAAACGGCTTATTCTGAAACATGGAGATCTTACCGATGGACAAAGGTTAGATCAACTCCCCAATAACATCGATCTGTAACATGGCTCAGCAACGGATATGTTGTTACGAATGAGAGAGGTAATTGGTCAAAGGACTTTCGACGATGGCCTGCTTAAACAAGTTTTCTTGTCTAAGCTTCCTCAACAGGTGCAGACAGTGTTTCCTTTCAAAACAACGCTGTAGACGAGCTGGCTGCGTCTGCCGGTCATATTCTAGAGATCACCAATACTTCTAACGCCGAAGTTTTTTCAGAGAAAAACCTCAAACCACGCGAAATGACGTTACGGAACTCCGTCATACTCTGACACGTTGCCTTCTCATTCGTCACGACCGTAAACGATCGCAAATCCCTCGAAGGGAAACCCTGCAATTTTCCGAATTCCAAACAGACCGACATGAAAAACGTTTCGGGAAACTGAATTTTGTTAACAAATGACTGCAGAGAAACAGCATCATTGTAGACATTCGGAAACGTTAAATCGGCACCAACTCCGTCGGACATACTATTGATACTCAAGACATCCGACATCTGGAAGCAAAGTGGCGGTCATTCTGGATTGCCCAGAATCGATCACAATCAAGCAACTACGCACGTTCGACGGCCGAGTGTTTCTGTAGATGGTTCATACCAAGTTGCGCGTCCCTTATGAAACCTCTAACTGACCGACTTCGTCGCAATACTGAATCTATCAATTCGGACGACCATTGTATAGTGTGGTCGATAAGAGGACCCACCCATGATAACACGGAACGACCACCACCACGTTAACTTTCTTTGACCTTGTATGACTATGCCTCGTTTACTCACGAATCACAATTTCATGTTTATTATAAAATATTATTCGCTTCGTTGACTGATTTTTCCTATCCTGTAGCTACTGTTCGGTGTGCTATTTGTGTCCCTTCTTTTCCCTGGTTAGTAGACTGTATTGTTTATTTTTGTATACTGACAGTGTTAATTTACGTTTTAGAAACAGATAAAGTTTATCAAGCCAAATAACTTACTTGTTCTGACTTTAGCTAAGCTAAGACTTTGTGCGCGACAGTCTAGAGAACAGTTTAGAATTAAATCTATAGAAAATCACTTCTTACAAAGTTTCGGACAGTAAATTCAATATAACTACTGAAATGACTTCCAATAAGTACTTCAATTCTGATGAGCTTCCGGAGTCATCACCCATCATCTGGGATAATATGACCAACTTGAAAAGGATGAACCCGAAACCAATAACGTGATAGAACTAGAAAAGTTACATCACCAGGGAAGTAAAGATTTCGGCTCGTCAGTAAGCAACAGAGAATGCAGTATTAAAATATCTGTATTTACCAAAGAGGGAAATCGTAAGATTTTATGGTAAACCGACAAAATATCGGAATTTTATTGGAAATTTCAAAGAATGCATCGGGAGCGAGAATATTGGATTTAGAGCTAAACTGAATTACTCGGTTCAATATTGTGACGGAGAAGCGAGAGCCGCTATACTTCATTGTACTATGCTAAAACCGGAGATAGGTTATCATCAACCACTAAAGCTATTAGAGGAAACGTTTAGCCACGCACGTTTATCGCCAACTTGTTAAACTTTCCCATTATAAGAAGAAATCAACCAGAAGGTTTGAGAATACTGTCTCAAGGAATGCAAGCATGTGGTCTGACTCTCAAACAGATGAATTACATTTCTGACTTGAACTCTCCCAGAACTATTAAAACTATGGTTCTGAAATTACCAACGCACGTTCAACAAAAGTGGTTAAAGGTAGCTTAGAAGATTATCAGAGGAGGTCGAGAGCCTCTGTTTGTCGATCCTATTGAGTTTGTAAAGGGACAAGCTGATATAGCTAATACTGGACATGGACTACTTGTTAACCGTGGTAGTGTGGTGGACCAAAAAGTATATTAACCAAAAATTAGCAATAAAGCTATTCATCCAAAAGTTAATGTAACACTAATAATTTATAAATTAGTAACACAAAATAAAAGTTCAGGGACGTTACTTAAATCAGCTAGTTGTCGTGTATTCCGCTGAGTTTTGGTACCAAAATCGACAATTATAAATGAGTAATAACTCCGATGAGGTAAATGTGACTCCAGTAAGTTTCCTTGACGTAGGATGTAATAGAAATGGCACAACAGTCTAAAATGTGGATAATATTCGATTTAGAATGCAATTGGCTCGATAACGCGTGAGAATAGAACAAGGAGGGTGTGTGTGTAGTAGTGTATTTGCGAACAACCACAAGTGTGTCACGCCATGTCAGTATCACAACGGAAAGCGTTGTAAATCACCAACGTAGATGATCTATGTCGAAATGATTGGAGGCCTACTCCAGTTAGACGTGAATGGTGTGACGAACCAACTAACGTCGAAGTCACACCTCGTGGTCAGCACCTTACGTGGACTACCCCCATTGACGTAACAAGGTACTATAGATGCTTTGAAGACTGTACAACACAAAGGACGTTATTACAGAAATATATTAGTTAAGGTAGATACAGGCGAAAGTAAGACCACTGCCGCATGGGCCAGTCCATGGCGTATGATTAACTAATGCGCGTTTGTTGTACATGACCTTGGCAGGGAGCGACGATCTGTTCGACATTCAGTGATCCAACTGCCGGATGATTTGGCTAGGGCTCAGTGACATTTCACTGGCCCTACAATACTCCCCCACCAGATTCAACGGCCGTTTGAATCGGTACCAAACATGTCGGGAGCGGTCGCGCGCCGGAGAGTGCCAAACGAGTATTATAAATCCTCCAGGTATTGCTTATCTGTAAAACAAATGAAAAGGAGGCGGCAGAAACTGGTCGGGAAACAGCGAGTCATAATATGTTAGTAGGACGTTGCTTAAACGTAAATTGATTAATCATACAAATAATGAAAAGAACAAAACGTTTTATTGTTCTAAAAAGTCGCGCTGAAATATATAGCCTTGACAAGTAATTCAGTTCCTCCGATGACAAACGTTAAGTCTGCCGCAAGAGTAATACTGCTATAGCGATAGTAGGATAAGTGTATTATCAATCGATGTCCATGTTTGTACTGTCATTAGTTTAAAGTTGTAAGTCGGACAGTGTCGTTGACAGCTATTAATTAGTGTCGAATTCTAGTTATATCTATATCTAACAGACTAACCGTAAGTACAGAAGTATAACAGTGAAGAGTGGTCGTTATTTCGTTGTGCGAAGCTATTGACCAACTTGTAGTCACAGTTTGAAAAGTCGATGACTGCTGTTACAGCCAGT